GTTTGTGATGCTCTCCGTTTTAGAAATCTGTTAACATTTTAAAAGTTGTGTAGGGTATGGCCAGCCTAAGTCATTTTAAAGACTGGTGGGGGCTGATAGTCAGGAGTAATGAATAAATGCATGATGCAGCATTTGAGTCTTCCTGGCAGAACTTTTGCTAAACTTTTGCTGGTGGCCTGTAAGGGCACATACCTTTAATATATTGAACGTTAGACGTAAAGGCACTTATGGGCTACTGCATGTCCACTCCACATCTGTAGCATCTTTTTCCTCTGCACCTTTCATCATGTTAAAGTTTCTGTTGCTGACAAAGGCACGTTGCAGATTTTATCCTTGACCTTAATAGGTTCTCAGTGCTCCCAAAAGCTACAATCAAAGAGCTGTGTGGAACTCCGGATGTTGGTTTATCATCTGAGTGCCATTTCAGTACCATCTCTAAGACTGCATTCTATTACAAGAGAAACATCCAAAATAAGACGCATACTGACCCTCCAAGATGCTAATAAACAGGCTGGCTCTAGTCTCTTGGGGGCCGCTGACAGGATTTATTTTCGGGGTGGGGTATGCGTCTTGCTAGCTTATTTGGGAGCCATAAAGGGTGGAGCCTATTTCTTTTGGGATTTTGTCTTTGTTTATGTTAGGGAGGTAGGGCATGTTTTTATATTTTCTCTTCTTTTTCTCTCTTGAGAACATACCCACACAGCAAGGTGACCTTAGTCTACTATCAATTTTCCATCAGAATCAACATTTTGAACGAGGTTGAAATTTTAATCCACACGTTGGTCACAATGACATTCATTTGTAGTCGACCGCAAGAAGAAATCCACGAGCTCATGTCGTCAGTAATGAGGTTGAATATACATTGATTTATAGTAGACCATCAAATCATGTGACAGTCCTGCAAGTGCGTACTCTCTCCTGTGTCCTCTGTCCTCAATCCTCCTGCGTCTCTGTGAGAGGTATGAGAATATTTTCATTCCTACCATAATTTTAAAAACTTTGATGTTTGAGTGACATACACTGACCAGCCACCTCCTTGTTTCTACACTCATTGTCCATTTTATCTGCTCCACATACCATATAGGAGCACTTTGTAGTTCTACAATCACAGACTGTAGTCCATCTGTTTCTCTGCACACGTTTTTAGCCCCCTGTCTTTCAATGGTCAGGACCACCACAGAGCAGGTATTATTTGGGTGGCGGATCCCTCTCAGCAGTGACGCTGACGTAGTGGTGGTGTGTTAGTGTGTGTTGTACTGGTCTGAGTGGATCAGACACAGCAGTGCTGCTGAAGTTTTTAAACACCTCAGTGTCACTGCTGGACTGAGAATAGTCCACCAACCAAAAATATCCAGCCAACAGTGTCCTGTTTATTCCATTGTATGCTTGTATATTAAAGAGATGACCAAGTTCTTCTTGACTCTTGACTATATGAGTTCCTCTCTTGCAATCACACATACACACTCGCACGTTGTCTCTCTGCGGCTGCCGCTATCAAGGTTTTTGAAGCCCCCTGCTAGCTGTCGTCTTATCCATGTTGATTCATTCCTATCTCTCTCTCTCGCTCACTCTCTCGCTCTCGTACACACACCTTCTAAACGCGTCCTAAACACTCGCAATGGTAATTGAGGCGGCAACATCTCAAACACTGAGATAAACTCCCTGCCACTCCCTCCCCGCGCTTTGATTGGTGAAGAGATACGGCCTCCATGACAGCCAGCAAACCGTACATCAAGCGGCCTGTCAAGGACCACTCGTCATTTACCATCAGCGAATCAGCCGGGCTTGTCCTGCACACTCTGTTTGAACGTTCTTGAGCGTTTAAGCCTTTAACATTCTTTTAACGTTAGCGACGGGTACCTTGACAGGGTCTTTGATAGTAATAGATGAAACCAGCCAACACTGAAACAAAGCAGGCTGATAGAGACAGATTTGTACCTGTGGTCTTTTCCATATGCTTTTTTAAATGAAAACTTGTTTCAAAGGAGCAGAAACATCAGGCCACAGCGTAACTCACGCAGACGCTTTTAATAGCGGATGAGGAATTGCGGTCGCAACTGGTCAGACGGCTTGCATTTGTTAACAGGCTCAACCTATCAAAGAGGTTCTGGATCACTGAAAAGGCAAAGAACTTTTATCATCCAATCCAGAGTTTATAGGACGAGCTGAGGTTAGGGTTGGCTTCCATAGCCTTTGTATGTAATCAAACAAAATGTGGTCACCTGACCATTTTTCTCTGATACAGTGTATACGGTGAGTATTCCAGTACAACCCCGTCTCCAAAAAAGTTGGGACGCAGTGCAAAACTCATCAAACTTTTGTTTCATTGAAAATACAAACACAACATATCAAATGCTGAACCTGAGAAACTAGTTTTTTTTTCAAAGTATATGCCAATTTTGAATTTGATGCCGGCAACACATTTCAAAAAAAGTTGGGACGGGGGCATGTTTACCACTGTGTTTCATCACCTCTTCTTTATACAACACTATGTAAGCGAACTGAGGAGACCGACTGCTGTAGTTTTGAAAGTGAAACGTTTTCCCATTATTGCTTGATATAGGATTTCGGCTGCTCAACAGTTTAAGGTTTCCTTTCTCATATTTTTTCTTTTCATAATGCACCAAATGTTTTTGATGAGTGACAGGTCTGGACTGCAGGCAGACCAGTTTAGCACCCGAACTCTTTCACTGCAGAGCCCTGCTGTTGTAATACATGCAGAATGTGGTTTGGCTGTGTCTTGCTGAAATAAGCAAGGCCTTCCCTGAAAAAGACGTCACCTGGATGGCAGCATGTTGCTCAAAAACATGTTTATACAGTTCGGCATTATTGGTATCTTTAGAGATGTGCAAGTCACCCATGCCATGTACACTAATGCACCCCCAAACCATCACGGATGCTGTGAATAGATGTGTAACAAACCTCTTTGAAAAAGGGTCTGACCGCTTTATCTGAAGGGAACTCTAATCCAGCAGCTTGTAACCTTGCACAGAATGGAACCACAGCCTTATACTGCATGCACAAACTATAAGGCTGTGGTTCCCATCTGTGCAAGGTTACAAGCTGCTGGAGTAGAGTCCCCTTCAGATAAAGCGGTCAGACCCTTTTTCAAAGAGGTTTGTTACAGATTGGCGCCCGAACAGGGACCTAGCTAACACTTTGTGTGTATTTACACCCAATGTCACCAATTTCAATTGACATCTGAAGTTGTGGCCTGGGAAACAACACCTTTTTGGACTCGAGCTGCTCACTTGGTGAGATCAGTCCTTTGTTTCCTTTAAGCAGAGACTTACACCCTGATTCAGACTCTAATACAGTTCCTACTCAAAAGCCTACACAAGTACAACACTGGATGATAACTGTATGTTTTGTAAATATTACGGGTGTAAATACATACTTTGTGCACGCAGTATAAGGCTGTGGTTCCATTCTGTGCAAGGTTACAAGCTGCTGGATTAGAGCCCCCTTCAGATAAAGTAGTCAAAGAGGTTTGTTACAGATGTACACTGATAGCAAGTCAGATGGACCCTCTCCCCTTTAGCCTGTAGGACGCAGCATCCATGATTTCCAAAAAGAATTTCAAATTTTGATTTGTTGGCCTATCTTAAGTCTATCTCAAATGAGCTCATGCCCAGAGAAGGCGGCGACGTTTCTGGATCCTGTTTATATATGGTTTCTTCTTTGCATAGGATTTTATCTTGCATTTGTGGGTGCAGTGATGAACTGTACTACCACTACAGAATCAGGTCTGTTTTTAATGCAGTGCCACCTGATGGCCCAAAGATCATGGCCAGTCAGTATTGGTTTTCAGCCTTGTCCCTTGCATACAGAGATTTCTCTGGATTCTCTGAATCTTTTAATGATATTCTGTACCATAGATGATGAAATCCCCAAGTTCTTTGCTGTTTTACGTTGAGAAACAGTATTCTTGAATTGTTGTACTATTTGTCCATGCAGTCTATCACAGTATTTCTCTCTGGGGTGCTCTTTTTATTCCCAATCATATTAGTGACCAGTTGCCAATTAAGCTAATTAGTTGTGAGAAGTTCCACCAGGTTTTTTTCTAGCATGACATAACTTTACATTTTATTGCCACTGTCCCAACTTTTTTGAAACATGTTGCTGCCATCAAATTGAAAATGTGCATATGTTTTTTAAAAACCAATAACATTTCACCATTTGATATGTATATAAAAGTTTCACCATTTGATATGTTGTCTTTGTACTATTTTCAAATAAAATATAGGTTTTAAATGTTTTTCACATAATTGCATTCTGTTTTTTGTTCATAATTTGTACAGCATCCCAACTTTTTTTGGAAACAGGGTTGTATGTTATTGTTATTTATTATGCTTCTAGTGCTTATATCCACTTTAAATCTACACATATGATGTATTTTGACTTTGAGCTGCTGGAGTTTATAAATGTGAAAGGGGGCTAACAAAGTGTGCAGAGAAACAGATGACCTACAGTCTGTAATTGTAGAACTACAAAGTGCAACTATATGGTAAGGACAAAAAGTGTGGATACAAGGAGGTGCTTTTAATGTTATGGGTGAACTGTGTATGCACTGGAAGCATATTAAATAAAATCAAAAGTGTCTGAATACTTGTTTCACCTCTCTGTGTAAGAAAGGCAACAATATGTTTGAGTTAAAACTTGAGGCCCTGGGGACCAGGCGCATCCTCCTTTGTGCCACTGAATGTTTCTTTCTGACTAAAATGGATCCGTACGAATAAATAAACACAGATTCACACCACAGGGAATGAACACATCAGCTGAGTGGTCTTTTTGCCTGATGGCCTTTCCAGTAACGGGCCATTGTAAGTAATGAGTTGGGTAGCTCTGTGTTTGTTGTGCACCCTGAGGTGTGTTTATAAGTTCCCATAAAGAAAAATGGGCCGAATATGGAACTTAAATGTGCTAAACTGTCAGAAAGTAAACTGTTAGCTTTAATTCATCGCAGCAGGATCATTAAGCAGCGACTGTTCTTTTCCTAGGCTGGTCGGTAGAGTGGTGGACGAAGGGGTGCCACGTTGCAATGATCCCGGACCAATGCGGCTTACTCGAGGTTAGTGTTTCTCAACCTTGTTTCTGTTTAACTTATATATAACGTGCTTCTGACTGCACAGACTCACACTTGTTTTTCTTTTATGCTCTTATGAAGCATCTAAAGTTATTTGGCTGCTAACATGTGTTCCTTTGTGGAGAGTCTGTAGCCCCCGAACTGTGAGCGAGTTCCATTAGGGGCTTCAGTCTGAAAACAGTCATGATTCCCTGAAAAGCTTTTTTTCTATCCATGCTTGCAGTCAGACTACAAAGAATAATAAATAGGTATGTTTTGATTTTCAATACAGGCTTACACTCGTAAAAAGTTCTTCAAGGGTTCTTTAGTAAAGACAGTTGTTATATGTCGAACCATGAACACTGAAAGAACTATTTGCATGCTTAAAGGATTCTTTGCATCATGAAATGGTTCTTTGTATTGGTGGAGAATGTGTTGTATATAGTTGGATGTAGAAGCAAAAAAAAAGGTTTCTTCAGTTGTTACAGGCTTGACATCGCAATAATAGCAGAACCCTTTTCAAAAAGGTTCTACCTAGAAATATAAAGGTGGATTTAGTGATCCTGGGGCCCTAGCCAAAACACAGGAACGGGGCCCCCTGGATGCACATTTTTAAAAGACTTGATACTCTGGGCATATGGCATATCCATTTACACTGCAAGAAATGATATCTCAGCGAGTGAACTCATCTAGTTGGTAATATCTAATATTTCTCATTTTGAGACTGCTGCAAAAGTATAATAGTTAATAGGTCACTTTGCTTGTTTTAAGAAATATAGCTAAATGATCTGCCAATATAGTGAGGTAATTTGGTATGGAGTAACATAGAAGTAATGACTGTTTTACAACCCCAATTCCAAAAAAGTTGGGACGCTGTGTAAAATGTAAATAAAAACAGACTGCAACGATTTGCAAATCTCATTCAAAATAGGCAAAAGGGACTGTTCTGTGGTCCGATGGATCATAATTTGAAAATGTGAAAGAGACACCATGTCCTGCGGACCATCTGGCTTGTTATCAGTGCACAGCTCAAAAGCTTGCGTCTCTGATGGTATGGGGTTGCATTAGTGCCTATAGGTGGCCGGTTAACAATCTGGAAATGCACTATCAATGCTGAACAGTATATAGAGGTTTTAAAACAACATATGCTCCCGTCCAGACGTCTCTTTCAGGGAAGGCCTTGCATATTTCAGCAAGACAATACTAAACCACACACTGCATCCATCACAACAGCATGGCTTCGTAGAAGAAGAGTCTGGGTGCTGAACTGGCCTGCCTACAGTCCAGACCTTTCACCAATAGAAAACATTTGGCGCATCATGAAATGAAAAATCTGGCAAAGAAGACCCAGGGACTGTTGAGCAGCTGGAATCCTACATCAGGCAAGAATGGGACAACATTTCTCTCCCAAAACTCCAGCAATTGGTCTCCTCACTTCCCAGACGTTTACAGACTGTTGTTAAAAGAAGAGGGGATGGTACACAACGGTAGACACGGCCCTGTCCCAACTTTTTTGAGATGCGTTGCTGCCATCAAGTTGAGTTAATGTTTTTCATGAAATGGTCAAATGTCTTACTTTCAACATCTGATATGTGTTCTGTGTTCTATTGTGAATAAAATATAGGTCTATGAGATTTGCAAATCATTGCATTCTGTTTTTATTTACATCTATTTACATTTTACACAGCGTCCCAACTTTTTTGAAATTGAGGTTGTATTTCTTTTATTTTTCAGGAAGTAATAAGTAATGTAATCCCAGTATATTTTGAGAAATGTAATTAGTAGCTTGAGTGGATTACTTTTTTGAGTAATTACCCAACACTGAAGCTATCAATATTACCATTAGCGCTAGCATTATGTACTGCTGAGTCAGTGCAGCATTCTGTTCTGACTGAAAAAAACAAATTTAACTTTGGGACTGCAGCAACAAACTTTTTGCTTTTCTTCCTCTTTCACCATGTCCAAAGAACAAGCAATGTCAGCGAGCGACCAGCTGCAAGCGATGCATTGCTTTTGACAAACAAAAAGACATTTTGACAGACAAATCTCTGTCATTCTACCTTAAAATGCATAAGCAGAAACTCTCCCATGAATTGGAGAAAAGGAGGGATCTCTACACCCCTTTCAGTAAATATACTAAGGATTTTAACTGAAAGGTGTCCATATGAAGAGAAATTGTCAGAGTGCTGAAAGCTGGAGGTAAATAAATACCATTTGTTTTGTGTCACTGATTGACACTAGCAGCTAGCAGGTATAAGTTAGCAGGTAAAACCGAGCTGCCCAATACGACAGTGCAGCAAGGAAACTCAGCTATCTTAGCTGAAGTCTCAAGCTATTTTCTCATAGTTCTGTGGTTTGTTCACTTGACGCTGCTTTGAACCTTTGCTTGCTGTTGCTTTTGCATTTCTCTACAGCACTTGATAACTTTTTTTAAATTTATCTCTCAACAGCCAGAATATCACACTGATGAACCTCCTCTCCAACATATAGATCATTAGTGCGTTTTTCTTACCAGTCTGTCTTTGCGTGGTTGTGTCATCACCTAACAACATAAAATAGTCCATTATAATTATAATCTGGGGGTGGTGATGTGTGATATTACTGAACTACAGTCAGAAATAACTTTTTCCATCAATCCATGCAAAGAACCCTTTAAGCATGCATATGGTTCTTTGAGTGTTCATGGTTCTGTATAGAATTGTTGTCTTTACTAAAGAACCCTTGAAGAACCATCTTTTTTAAATATTGTAAAGAAACAAATTAATCTATATTTTATTTCTTAAAAATGCTCATTATGATCATGCAGGTTTATTGTGACAGTAGCTGTTTTTGCGTCACACATTTTACCAAACACACTGTTGTAAGCAGTCTCTCCTATCTCAATTTCTGTGTTACAGGCTTGAGTTACAGTCTTGTATCTCTATCAGAGTTGGTGTCGCAGTGGCCTCCCTTGCTTGTCTCCTTCCTGCACAGTCAGTCAGTTTTTGGGGACGGTCTGTTCTTGTCAGATTTACATCTGTGTCACACTTTTTCAAGTTTTCAGAATAGAATAGTTGGTTTAGTACCATATCTACATACAAGAGCCTTTTTGTTTCAGTTAGGTCGTTTTTTAAAGAACCCTTTTTTGTAAATGAGCATGCAAGTGTGAATGAAGTGTATGTAAATACAGTCTCTGACTTTTCCACAGTACTGTTTATTTGAGTGTGTATGTCTGAGTGGAGCGCTTTGTCTATTTTTTTATATGTGTGTGTGTGTGGGAGTAGTTGTGTATGTCTGTCCAGATTGCTGGACAACTAGAAAATGTATAGCGTTGTGGGGACTAGTCCCCATGAAGAGATTTTCTTAATGCATCTTTTATTAGAAAAAAATAACCCTGCGATGTCATATATATTGTCTTGTTTTCCAGCAATCTGGGGACATGTAATCCCCACAAAAAGCTAAATACATAGCCAGACACGCACAGCCAGACACACAAACACATAAAAAAGACACAGCGCTCCACTCGAAGACAGTTCTGACAGATTACTTAAGTGTCTGTCACCATTTACAGTCCAATTTCAGGCTCCCGCAAGTGTCACCGAGCGTTTCAGCCGCAAACAAGCAATTACCGAGTGCGCACACCCACTCACACCCCCCGACATGCACACACATACACATGCTCACACCAAAACACCTTTTTCTTATTCTTTTCCGTCTGCGAAGATGTGTGATGTGTTTTTAGCAGTTTCCTCTCTCCACACAGGCCTCCAACTGCAAACACACACACAAATGCACGCTGATTTCTCTCTCTCCCACACACTCCTGAAAGCAAGCGCTCTAACCCGACTCATTTAGCTGAGTAATACTTTGAAGGTTCACTTGACACAATTTTGTCATTTTTGAAATTGGTTACTCTTATTCAATTAGCTGCTGTTGGAGTGCTGTCGTTCGTACAAAGAAGAACAGAAGAGGAGAGAGGAGCGGAACAGCTAATCAGCTAATGGAACTCTACCAGGTGAGGCCTTCGCTATCTTCCTCATAAAGCCCATCCAAAGCTTTCAGTGCGTTGTTCATCTGGGTCACATTAAAACTCACTGGAGAGAAAAATACTTTTTATATTACATGCTGGGGTCAAACGTGTTAAACACTGCAGCCATTTGTGCACATTTACTTTGCTCCAGTTTCATTCAGTCAGCTTAATTCACACAGTTCCATGAAATTAAGTGGAACGTTGATGTATTTTGACTTTACTGAGCTGCTTCAAATGATACTATTACCTGCAATTGAGAACATTTAAGAGGAACGGAATCGACTTTTTCCCTCAGTGCTGCTTTAGTCATTCGCTTACTTACCCATATGCTAAGGAAATATATTTACATATTTTTTAAAATAGGTGTCATATGTTATATATTTCTGACATAATGTATATCGTTGCTGCCAAAGAGAAGCATCTCCATTTTTGTTGATTTTTTTTTTTGTTTCTACATCATTTGAACGCAGCAGTTGTGCTTTACTTTGTGTGGGGATTTTACGATAAATGGACCAATAGAAATGCTCCACAATCACTTGGAATAAAACCACTTTACATTAACTTACATTAAAAAGTATTAGGTTTTTGCCTTCTCCTGTAAAGTTGCAATTTTTGAGATTCATGTTTTTCTTTGGATAGCGACGATATGTAAATAGTAAAAATTGACACCATTACATACACTGGAAAAAAAAACAGTAAAAGGTTTCAGTAGCAGGGTTGCCATTTATTAACATTATGTTTTTTCAAAGATGGTGAAAATCTGTAAAAGTTTCACTGGTGCAACTAGTTATTCTGATTTATGGTATTTTTTCATAATAATAACAGTAACAACCATTAAAATGAACGCAAATTTAATTTGTTTTTTTGCCAATTAATATTCTTACGCTATATGCGTAGTTTGCTTTCATGCATTTAAACCTTTTTCAAAAAACAGGAATTGACCATTAAATTTGACAGTGAAAATACTTCTCTACAATGTATGTTCTACATACGTACACATATTTCAACATATTGACATATATGCCCATATAAAATATTTAAAAATACATTTATCACATCTACTGCACATATACTTTTCTTCTATATGGGTGACATGCCTTTAACTTACATTCATCTAATTATCTATTAAATTTACCTTAACCTCAACCTATAATACAACACCTAACCCTCACTCTGGTCTTAATCCTAAGCACTTTCACCAGGTAACTACAGCATGAATATGGTTAACAATTTGAACATCTGTAGATTATCTATAGCAGGCTATCTAAATAAAATGAGACCTTTGCTTCCTTTAAATTCATTCTGTTGGATCAACCTCTCACTTCAGAGCTTTAGAATCTGACAAACTTCAGTTCCTGTGCTGACACACAGGGAACCATTAAAAAGTTTGGAATTGCTGTTTAGGAGTTTGGAATGACTGGGCCTCATTCACCAAAACCTTCCTAAGTTTTTTCTTAAATTTGTTCTTGAGAAAAATCCTTAAAAAAAAGTCTACGTCAGATTCATGACGTGTTCTTAAACTGCAGAATTGTTCACACCTCTTGAGTTTGTGCTCTTGAGTGTGTGTAGATGCTGTTCTTACCTAAGAACAAATCTCAAATAAGAAAACACTGGTGCATGGCAGAATCTTCATTAAACTGCACAAGTGGGTTTAAGAAATTTCTTGTTAAGAACGGTTGGTGAATGAGGCCCAATGTTTTCAATAATACAAAACCAATTTGGTTGCAGAGACACAAAATTATCCAAATGTGATGCTACTTCTATACAACTTAATAGGTCTTAAATAATTTGTAGGAAGCTGTAAAAGAAGGAATTAAGCAATGTTAGTGTCCAGAATGATGAACTGTAGCTGATTCCCAAAATGACCTAGAAGGCTGTTTAACATTGAGAAAGAAGTTCTAATAAAATTAACACCAAAAATGTCTCACGCTTCAAAATGTTGACCAAATCTTGAGATATTTAAGAAATTATTATTTAGAAAAGCCTTTAAAACATTTTGTTGTTGTCTGTTACCTGATGTATTGAATATCACATCGAAAAATACATTCTAGTCATGCTATTTCAGTCTACACTGTATTAAAACAATAATGCACACTGTAGCAAACAACACCCCTTAACTATGGTACATTCATGGCAACGCAGGGCCTTGCTCTATAAAACAGAAAGAAGATACTGTTTGATAAAATACACCAACAACTGTGTCCAACAACTATTATTAATGTTTATTCTTATAATAGCATACAGTTATGTGGTTCTTCTGTGTTAAGCAGTGTTAGTTAGCAGTAGGCTATAACGGTCATGCAGTGTATCAATTAACAATTCTTTCATGCATACTTGGTGCATTAAAGAGAACTGGAGTTTTATATTATAAAACGGATAGTTCTGGTCCTAATTTAATTACGCAAACCTATGACCACCTCACAACAACTGAAACTGTATTAAAAACCATTGTGCTCTGATGTGAGTTTTAAAGCGGAACTCCACAGATTTTTCAAAATTTTTGCATAATTAAATGGTTGATGTATCAGCAAAATCATTCATATCCAGTTTTAAGCTTTGAATTGAAATATTTACTGAATGATTCACTGTGAAAAGGCTGTAAATAGGATCAGAATTTTAGTGAGGCCTGTTTTGCAAAAATGTTACCCCTCTCTCTCTCTCTGCTTTGCTCTTTTGCAGCTGTCCTCATTGAGCACTGAAAAGGCACACATTAAACATGTTATAAAAGTCTGTCGTTACCAAACCCCAGCTAGGTACTCATACAGTTAATGAGTCAGAATACAGCCTAATGTACCTGCTGGTTTCTTAATGATACTACACGATCAATATGCCAGTTAACAGTGAATGTTCTCATGGCAGTTGTAGTTTGTTAAGTGTAGGTAACAAAATACAGCTTTAATTTCTTATCTAATCACTAGTATAGCCAACTATGGAGCCTGTAGCCTAAATAGAGCAGCTACTGGAACTAGACTAAAGCATACTGATTTAGCTAGCAACGCTGTGAGTGCTCCAGATAAGGAAATGAATAAAGGAGTTTGCATTTTACATGAATATGGAAAATTTCACATTAAAATGTTAAATTATGCTCATGAACTCTTACATTTTTACCATAGCGATGTTATATGTTAGCGTATAGCAACATCTCAAGAAGGCAATGTTACTCTAGTACTCAGGGCAGCATAGCGTCTCGTACAGGCATAAACAGAGCGGGCAGTTTGGTCTAGGGCCGAGCTACAGCTGTTCTGAGGTCAGCTGAGAATCTTATAAAACCCTTCAGAAACTTAAGAGGACCTCAGTGTCCTAATGCTAGCCACGAACGCTAGCTAACTCACTGAAGCAATTGCAGATAATAACGGTTGCTGAGCAGTAATTGGAGGGTTTCGAAAATAACGGCAGATTTTGATTGGCCATAATACGGTGACAGCGCTCACAGAAAACAAATCAAACTTCATCATCTCACGAATGCAGCATAATAAATATTCTGTCCCCATTTGATTGGGTGGCCTGTGATACTGTGGCTGCGCCACTGAGTAGACTGTATTATTGTAATAGCTCTGTCTCTACTTTTAATCTCATGAATGGAGGAAAGGAAAAAACCCTTCTAAACATCTGAGGTCCGGACTTCGGTGTCCTCATAGGTAGTTACGGCCATGACTGTGAATCATGTCTCACACACTTCAAATGTCTGTGTTTTTAATTAGATTTGCCTTAGGTAAAGTTAGTATTAAACCCAATGTGAGAAAACCAATGTGGCACCGTTAGCTTGATGCTAACGCAACAAAGAAAGTTGCATCTCTGACTGCTTGGCTGGTCACCAGCGAAACCACCATATGTTGTGTTTTGAATGCTGGTCAACCAGCATGACCATGCTAAACCAGCTAATTCAGCGCCAGACCAGCAGTAGACCTGCATAAACTCAGCTCTGTGCTGTTTTTTTTGGTGGGGATTAAGCCTTAGCGGAAACTATCCTTCTGGACGTACTTTGGTGAGTGAAAACTACTTATAAGGTGAAAGTCCTTGTTCTTCTTTAGCAGTTCATATGTGCTTCACAAGAATTGTTTACTGCAATTAATATTATAAATTAAATTACATGTTGAAAATGTGTTTTTGATCATGTTTTTATACTTCATTGAGGCCATACGTTACAGTGATTTTATGCTTACCTGTGAGAAAATCATAATAATGCACAGCCTGTCGTGATTTATTGCGTTATCTTACAAAGGCTTTATAAGTGGCCAGTCAGACTTAAAAGGTGGATCTATCAGTTTCATGGTATTGTTGAATTAAAGAACAGCGTTATTAACTTTTGAACGACAGTGTATGTTACATACCCTGGTCAAATTATGTCTTCATTTTCTAAGTGAAAATATGTTAATACATCCTCTATGGAGAACACACTGCTGCACATTTTAATACACAATCACTGTTTATTTGCATATTAAACATTTTATGTTCATTTTTTTGGTGGTGTCAAAGTTTGCAGCATAAGCTTGCTAACATGTTGCTAAGGTTTTCCCAGGTGGTTGCTATGGTATCCCAGACGATTGCTAGGCGGTTGCTATGAAATCCTACGTGGTTAATAGAGTGTTACTAGCGGGCTCCTATCATTGTAATATAAGCTGGGTGCACAAACTTGGACCCCATTCATTCCTATGAGAAAAAAAATCGCCATTTAACGATCATCAGACGAAAACCGAATGTCTGATCAAAAAGCTGTATACAAGCACATTATTGCCGATCAGACCAAATCAGTGTCGATATCTTGAAAACTGCGGGACAAGTTAGTGGACAAAAATCTGACAGTAAAATCATAATAATAAGAGGGAGAATATGCCGTTGCATAACAATAATGTTGCGACACACATTTCACACACTACTGTCAGTAGTTCCATGTTGAAAATCAGCTGCTCCTGCACTACTGCTATTCGACGACTGTAGCCCTCCAGTTCAAATATAGCTCTTAAATGCCGAGATCCATTTATGAC